AAACCATTTCAGGTGACTACCTCTTGAAGCTCATGGAGAGAATGCCAAGAGTGTGCAAAGCAGTAATCAGAGCAAAGGGTGGCTATTTTGAAGAAACTAGAATATAAAACATGTTTTCAGTTATTTCACCTTTTTTTGTTAAGTACATAACTCCACATGTGTTCATTCATAGTTTTGATGCCTTCAGTGAGAATCTACAATGTAAATAGTCATGAAAATAAAGAAAACGCATTGAATGAGAAGGTGTGTCCAAACTTTTGGCCTGTACTGTATATATATGTATATATATATATATATATATATACATATATATATATATATCTCAGATATATTTGTCACGCCCCTTGGCGTCTAATACCATATAATAAATAAATAAATAAATAAATAATAAAATAAAGTAATGTAATGCAACGCAAAGCGACACAACGCAACATAACACAACACAACGTAATATAGCACAATGTAACATAACGCAACGTGACATAAGGTAACGCAATGTAATGCAACGAAACGCAACGTAAACCAAGCCAACATAACCTGACATAACGCAACGTAATGCAACGTAATTCACGCAATGTTACAAAACGCTACGCAACGTATGCTACGCAACATACGCTACACAATGTATGCTACGCAACATACGCTACGCAACATACGCTACGCAACGTATGCTACGCAACATACGCTATGCAATGCAACACAATGTAACGCAACGCAACATTATGCAACACATCGCAACAGAACATAACACAATGTGACGCAATGTAAAACAACACAATGTAACGCAACATAACACAACACAATGCAACGTAAAGAAAGCGTATGACACCTATACATAAATTACATAACTTTCTGTTAAAACAACACTGACTTTTGGTTTCAAAGGGACACGAACTGCAGTCGCCTGGTTAAAAGTCTAGTTTTGTTTGACCCATCCACCTCTTACTGCTCTACGGAGACTTTCTCGCTTTTATACTACGTCAGTTTCTCTCAGCCTCAAGTATTGCCTCAGACGGGTTTATGTTTGAGTTACGTGAAAGCCCAGTGTGTCTCATTAATTTGTTACAAGGTGCCTTTATCGTCAATATCACACACCAAAGCATCGGTATTTGACACCCTGAGAATAAGAACGGGCTGTACGTAACCATCTACAGCACATGCTTATTGTGGGGATATTATATATGTATGGTGTCTATCTATCTATCTATCTATCTATGAGTTAAGTTTTACATGTTTATTTCTCCCCCCATTAAAGAAAAGGCTGGTAATTTTTTCTACCTTTTTAGTGCCAACAAACCCTATGAAAAAACAAACAAAAACAAAAAATGTATCCTCTTCAAAGGTATTATTTGTGTAGTCAAAGTCTATTTGTCTGTGAAATTAAAGTTCATCGTTGTCCAGAAGCTATTAAAAACACACAGATGAGTCACACTGTCCCACTTGGTGACATGTTCCTTTATCACAATGAACACATACACTGCAGTTTATTTTGAGTCAATCCTACATACATCGTCCTGCCTCCCTAAAATCTGATGTGAAAACAGTCCCCAACAAATGCACTATTTACTCTGTTTGAGTAACATTTGATAAAAACTACGGCACCCAGCTGTTTTAGGATACTATTGAACCTTTTTTAAAAATGAAACTTTATATTTGTGATTAATGTCACCAGTACGAACCAATGGGCTAAAGACACTGTGATGAATCCAGAAATTATTATGAAACGACAAACACATTGTTGGCTTCAGTCTTTAGTGCGATTTGATGAAAAGTGCCAGCCTTATCCTTTAACGCAGCTCCCTCCACTGCTTCAAGTGTGATTTAATGTGTGAACCCTGTAGTCAGGAGCTACTAGGGAGGCATCTGTTTGAGAGAGGGGCTTAAATGTCACCACACGTGTTAACTTGGTGTGAAAAATTCCTGATATACATACCTGAAACCCAGCTGTCTGCACACCACCTCAGCATCTCTGTCGTCCCACTGGTCGTCACAGACGGAGCCCCACCTTCCTGCGTGAAACACCTCCACTCGACCTTCAAAGTCTTCCTCGCCTCCGACTAATCGCAGCGGCGGTCCACTGCCTGAGAGAGGATGTAGAAATATAGCAGTGTAGGTCAAACAGCATTCTTTCACATTTAATTCTCCTTTATTAACATTAACAAAGTAGGAATTAATAAAAAATAAACCATAAGTGTACAATAAAAGAGAAACAAATCATTTTCAATAAATGTTTTTCTCTCTAAATAAATAAATAAAAAGACAAATCTCTGTCTCTCAGGTGTGTGGGAAAATATTCAGGTCTGGTTGCCATGACACTGTGGAAGTCACACTGACCTTCTGGTGGCGCACACACCACTGCTGCCTCATTTCCATGGCTACAGTCACCAGTGACGAACGTCCTGCTCCGGCACTTACTCAGAGTGTTCTCGTCACCGCGGCAACCCAGACGCTCGTAGTGGAAGAGGCCAGAGCCTGAGCCTAACTGCGAGTGCTGCAGCGCCGTACCGATGTCCCTGTTGAAATAAAAATAAGAGCAAATGCATCGCAGCTGTGAAACATCAATACTGAATGAGGAGTTTTTGTTTTCTCTTACCCCAGGCCCAGCTGCCTGCAGATCACACTGGCGTCTCTGTCTGACCAGTGAGAGTCACACACTGCCCCCCACTGGCCATTCAGGTAGACCTCAACACGACCACTGCCAGAGGATGAGCTGCCCACCAAACGTGCCGCACCTAAAAATACAAACAGACGAAGGTGGTTTTATTCAGTAAATATTCACCAGTAGTCTGATGTTTATCTACAGTGTGCCGCAGTATAAATCTGTATCACAGTTTCTTAATGGATTCATGGTTTAAAGCTGGATTAATAGATTTTTTTTGGCCACATGAGGGCAGCAGGACAACCTATAACAACGACACATACACCTCAACTGACCCCTTCCGATGCGAAGGAGCAACGGCTCTACTCGGAGCTCCCTCTGGATGTCCGAGCTCCTTACCCTATCACCTATCACTAAGGCTGAGCCCAGCCACCCGTTGGAGGAAACTCATTTCGGCCTCTTGTATCTGCGATCTTATTCTTTCGGTCTTTACCCAGAGCTCATGACCGTAGGTGGGGGTTCATCTTCCGGCTCAGCTCCCTCTTCACCACAACGGACCGGCACAGCGCCCGCATCACTGCAGAAGCTGCACCAAACTGTTGATCCATCTCACGCTCCATCTACCTTCACTCATGAACAAGAGCCCGAAATACTTGAAGTAACTTTCCCCCAACCCAGAGGGGGTAATCCACTGGTTTCCGGTAAAGAACCATGGCCACAGATTTGGAGATGATGAACTGGTCACTTCAGACCCTGAGCACCTCGCCCAGTATGGGGACACTTGGCCCCATACTTAACATGGACCCACCACCTACAGGGACAGAAATCAGGGTCTGGTGCATTTTGCCGGGCGGCAGGCAGGGGTGGGGTCCCAGGTGTGCTAATCCCTGGCGTCGCGGATATCTGGTTCTTCAGCTGCTAGATGCTCCACTGCTGTATGAGCTAGTCGCTAACTTTGTCTGTCTGTCCTTTGGTGTTGAGCATGTAAAGTACAGTGGGATTATAGGAGGGCTTTTAGCTGAAAATAGCTGCCTGCTGGAAACAAGGTTGATGGAAGCAAGTTGATGTGGGCGAGAAAGCTAAAAAGAATGATCCAAAATACAACAAAACACCCTGTAGAGGCCCAGACATACCCAACTGATATCAAAGAACTAGTGGCAACGAAGGCCAACTGTTACATCGCCTCACATTACCCATTTCTCAGCCAGAAAGTTACACTTGAACACACCGCAAAGACTACAGCCCACACATCGGCCAACTAGCACTGTAGTCTGCATTCGTCATTCAAAAAGGAAAACTGGAGGACCGGAGGGATTCAAGATGCTAGTTAGTCAGTTAGCATGTTAACAATACAACCCAATGTTTAAAGAACAAACAGTATTTACCTTGCGCTAGCGAACAATGACAAACAATCATGAACCATTTCAGCAAAAGAGCTCAACAGCTACAAAAAATAATCCTACCTAATGAAACAAGTTTGATTCCATCTCATGCCCTCTTGACTTCAACCATTTGTTTCCTTTCCTCACTTCTGTTTCTCTGAACTGCCAATCAAAATCGAAAGTGCTGAACTGACCAACAAGTGCCAATGGTGAGGGAAACACCGCAAAAACTATGGCAACAGATGCTCACCAACAGCCCTACATAGTCCATCGGCCCTGGAGCTTGGTCAGAATTTGCACATGTCAACAAGTTTTCTGCATCTTTTATGGTGTTTAATCTGAATTCATTTTAGAGCGCAGTTGAAATAGAATTGCCCAGTGTCTTACAAAAAATAGAACTGAATAGAATTTTGTACAGCAGAAATGTATTTTATGTTATTCTTTTATCATCTCACGACCCGTTATATTAATTAGGCAGCCCCTTGGAAGGAGTGCAGACTGCTCTACAGAGTAACTGATGATGACAATAATCTTAAGTTCTTCCTGTGTAATGCTGTTATGACTAATTTCCCCAGTACTGGAAACGTTTCATTGAAATTAAATTGGTTTTATTGGTGGAGGAGCATTACATTTATTTAATGAGTAGTAGTAGAAGTAGTAGTACTAGTAGTAGTAGAAGTAGTAGTAGTGGTAGTGGTAGTAGCAGTAGTAGTAGCTGTAGTAATAGTGGTGTTAGGGTTGTAGCAGTAAGTAGCAGTGGTCGTGGTTGTAGTACTAGCAACAGTAGTAGTAGTGGCAGCAACAGCTGTAGTAGTAGTAGTAGTAGTAGTGGTAGTAATAGTAGTAGTAGCAGCATATTAGTAGTAGTAGTAGTAGTGGTAGTAATCGTTGTAGTAGTAGTAGCATAGTAGTAATAGTAGTGGTAGTAATAGTAGTAGTAGTAGTAGTAGTAGTAGTAGCATAGTAGTAGTAGTAGTGGTGGTAGTAATAGTAGTAGTAGTATAGTAGTAGTAGTAGTAGTAGTGGTGGTGGTAGTAATAGAGGTAGTAGTAGCACAGTAGTAGTAGTAATGGTAGTAATAGTAGTAGTAGTAGTAGTAGTAGTAGTAGTAGTAGCATAGTAGTAGTAGTAGTGGTAGTAGTAGTGGTGGTGGTAGTAATAGAGGTAGTAGTAGCACAGTAGTAGTAGTAATGGTAGTAATAGTAGTAGTAGTAGTAGTAGTAGTAGCATAGTAGTAGTAGTAGTAGCATCGTAGTAGTAATGGTAGTAATAGTAGTAGTAGTAGTAGCATCGTAGTAGTAATGGTAGTAATAGTAGTAGTAGTAGTAGCATAATAGTAGTAGTAGTAGTAGCAGCATAGTAGTAGCAGTAGTAGTAGTGGTAGCAATAGTAGTAGTAGTAGTAGTAGCATAATAGTAGTAGTAGTAGTAGCAGCATAGTAGTAGCATAGTAGTAGTAGTAGTAGTAGTAGTAGTAGTAGTACTGGTAGTAGCGTAGTAGTAGTAGTAGTAGTAGTAGTGGTAGTAGCATAATAGTAGTAGTAGTAGTAGCATAGTAGTAGTAATGGTAGTAATAGTAGTAGTAGTAGTAGCATAATAGTAGTAGTAGTAGTAGCAGCATAGTAGTAGCATAGTAGTAGTAGTAGTAGTAGTAGTAGTAGTAGTAGTACTGGTAGTAGCATAGTAGTAGTAGTAGTAGTAGTAGTAGTGGTAGTAGCATAATAGTAGTAGTAGTAGTAGCAGTGGTAGTAGCATAGTAGTAGTAGTAGTAGTAGCATAGTAGTAGTAGTAGTAGTAGTAGTAGTGGTAGTAGTGGTAGTAATAGTAGTAGCATAGTAGTAGTAGTAGAAGTAGTGGTAGTTATAGTAGTAGTAGTAGTAGTGGTAGAAGTAGTGGTAGTTATAGTAGTAGTAGTATTATAAATGATCCTGTGTCAGTGACATCCTGGTGATCCGTGGTCATACCCTGGTGGCAGTCGCAGTAGGCCCATCCGATGGCTCCAGAGTTTTGTCTGAAGAAACACCAGGGGTTGGACTCTCGGTCCGGGTTCCTGCAGTAGCTGTGGTCGCCCAGCCCTCGGCCCGGGTACTGCATGACGTAGTCTGGAAACTCAGTCCACTTCAGACAGGGGGCGCCAGAGTCCGTCTGAGACACGGTGCCATTGTAGTATCCCAATTCTGTGAATCCCTCAGAGCAGGACAGAGGCACTGCACAAAGAGAAGGAGGGAAGGGGAGGGGAGGGAGTGAGTAAACGTTGAGGAAGATGGGAGAATAAGATGTTTTGGATGAAAGGAGGAGGATTTGGGTCAGAGAGGACAATGTGAATAAAAGGGAGTGAAAGTTTATGAGAAGTGAGAGGAAAAGAGGAGTGGAATTGCTCTTATCCAAATCACATTATCCCCATGTCTGCATTTTATCTCTGCATAAAGGCTTTCATGGATGATTTCCATATGCTGTCCACTGCCACAGCAGGATTCTTCCTAATGCATTTACTCCCACTGATCCACGCTGAACTGGTGAAATTTCCATAACCTTAAAGCACCCCATACTCAACATGGTGGTGATCAGACACTTCCAGTAATCTTCTCAGAGAAGAAGTGTGTGAGTGAAGCTTAGACGGACTGAGAGAGAAACTGCTGACATCAAAGTGAAGCGAAATTAGGCCACAAAATACAGAGCAGGTTATATACTGCGGCCCAATAAAAGCTTACATCACGCATTAATGAAAAGAAATTATACTGCAGATTTTAACAAGCAGACTGGTACACATACAGACACACTAATGCACTCTGAGGTCGTTCACACTAGATTTATAGAGCGAGGATGGCAGATCAGACAGAGAACCTCTGTGTCCTTGTTTATAGGACGTCTTTGTAATGTAAATTATGAACCAGATTTCCTGACAATCCATCCAACGGTTGGTGAGATATTTCAATAAGAGCCAAAAGTACCTGCTGAAAACATTTAGAGGGAAAATCAGAGAATCATCAGTCATTAGGATTCATCCTCTGGGAACCCTACATGTTTGCACTAAATTTATGACAATCCAACAGTTTTTGAGATAATTAAAAACATTAGATCACAAAAATGTCATTAGTTTACTCATTTATTTGTTTTCTAATTATTAATTTTTTTGTTTTCTAATTATCATTCATTTGCATATTTCTTATTTTTCTTGTTAATTTCTTGTTTATTTTCCTCGTGTTTTTTCTTTTAATGTATACTTCTTTTTTTCTTGCTTATTCATTTTTTCTTGTTTATACCCTCCCCCTTTTTCTTGTTTATTCCTCTTGTTTATTTCTTTTTTGTATACTTCTTTTTTATTTTTTTCTTGTTTATACCCTCCCCCTTTTTTCATGTTAATTTTTTTGTTTACTTCTTTTTTTCATGTTTATTTCTTGTTTATTTCTTTTTTCTTGTTTATACCCTTCCCCCTTTTTTTGTTTATTTCCTTTTTGTTTACTTCTTTTATCTTGTTTATTTTTTTTCTTGTTTATACCCTTCCCCCTTTTTTTGTTTATTTCCTTTTTGTTTACTTCTTTTATCTTGTTTATTTTTTTTTCTTGTTTATACCCTCCCCATTTTTCTTGTTTATTCCTCTTTGGTTTATTTCTTTTTTCCTTGTTTATTTCTTTCATTTACTTCTTTTTTTGTTTATTTTTTCTTGTTTATACCCTCCCCCTTTTTTCTTGTTTATTTCTTTTTTGTTTACTCCTTTCTTTTTCTTGTTCATACTTCTTTTCCTTTTCCTTGTTTTTTCTTGTTTACTTCTTTTTTCTTGTTTAATTTTTTATATTTGTCTTCTTTCTTGTTTATTTCATTTTCTTGTTCTTTTTCCTGTTAATTTCTTTTTTCTTGTGTATATCCTCTGCCTTTTTTGTTGTTTATTTCTTTGTTGTTTACTTCTTTTTTTGTTCATTTTTTCGTGTTTATAGAATCACCCTATTACTTGTTTATTTTTTTGTTTGTACCCTTTCTTGTTTGTACCCTCCCATTTCTTCTTGTCTATTTCTTTTTTGTTTACTCATTTTTTCTTATTTAGTTCTTTTTTGTTTACTTCTTTTTTCTTAATTTACTTTTCTTGTTTCACTTTTCATATTTATGTCTTTTTCCTTGTTCATTTAATTTTCTTGTTCTTTTTTCTTGTTTATTTCTCTTCTTTTCTTGTATTTTAGTTTTCCTATTTCTTTTTCGTCGTGGTTCATTCCCTTTTTCATGTCAGTTTTTTTTCTTGTTTATTTCTTTTTCCCTGTTTATTTATTTTCCTTGTTCATTTATAACTGTTTCCCTTTTTTTCTTGTTTCTTTTTGTTCCCTCGATTGCTTCCATCTTTTCTTGTGGCTACTCTTCATCCCACCTGTCACTGTGCCCTTTTCCCCTTATTTATTTCTTCATTTTCTTGCTTCCTTCTATCCTTTATTTTCCTCCAATCATAAGTCATCTTATCTGAAAGCATTAAAATTCCCCAAACCAGGGGGAAAAAACACTGCGTATTAATTCTTACTTGTAATGACACTGTCTCTGAAGGATTTTAGTCTTTCTCTGCACACAGTGAGGCTTTAACAGTTTTTTGAGGCCAAGCGGCTACTAAACTATGATTAATGGCAGAGGTGCTTCAGTAACCAGCAACAGTCTTATCTCCTCGACACACACAACTTGGCCGCCCTGGAACATTATCTACGCAGTGCAACCCTCGTGCCCAACTTGCACGCTAACACACATACACACTCACAAATTTGCTGCATAGTGGCCAAGACAGGAACCCACACACTTCAGTACAGTACACACTGAGAAACACACACACACACACACACTGGGTCCAATTTGGAGGGAGATAAAAGGAAGAGCAGAAGAGGGAAGCAGTGAGAGAGTCTGAGAAACAGGAAATCAATCAGGCAGAAATGTACTGAACTAAAACAGAAATCTATCCTCAAACACTAAATAATACAGAACACACTCAGACACTGGACCCAAAAACAACCCTCACTGGTATCCAGACCTTAAAAACAGCCTCTGACTTCACAGACAAAAATGTGTCTGTCCCTTTAAGAAACATGACACAGGAAGAAACTGAAAGTGAACAACTTTTCTGGGAAACCACCAGAATCTCCACCGTTAATATTTCTCCTTCCCAGACCAACACAGACAGACGTAAGTAGTCTTTACTGAGCCAAACCGTCATTATTAACACATAAGAAGTGAAGTCTATGGTGTGTGTAGGTTGTAGTTTCGTCCCACTTGCTGCTATTCAGCAGTTTTGTTGGGACACGCTGTTCTCTAGAGCACAGTAAAAACATATTGCTGTAGTTGGTGAAATAATTTAAACATAAGCTTCAACCTAACATGATCTTCATCAGCAGATGTAAATGTTTCTGCTCTGCCTGCACTTTATGATCTGTCGTCCATGTTGGCTAATGAAGTTACAGATTCACAGCTGATTCTTCACCTTGGAAATAGCACTTAACACAAAAAAGTCAATACAAGCTCAATTTATTGGCTATTCTGGAGATTCCACATCTTCAAGGAGGTCACTGCACGATACTGAAGTGATTTTTTTTTTCAACAACTACTTTTCATGTTACAATGAACTTTGAACTTCACCTTTGAGGCCAACATAGAGGAGAAGTCAATAATTACACAACTAAATAAAATACACCTTCCTGTGGAATCTTGACGTATTCATTTAGTACTTTTACAACAAAATCCTTAAATATTTTGATGATTTATCCTGATTTTGAGGGTGTATACATGAATTTGTTTAAAGTAGCAACACACCCATAAATGCATAAGCTAAATGCAAGCTAGTAAACATGGATGTCAACAATTCGGGTTTCACATTTCTAAAATTAAGAAAATGATTTAGAAAAAGAAATGTGCGATGTATGTTGTGTTGTTGTTTTTTTTTTGTTTGGTTTTTTTTTTACTTTTTTTTACAAAAAATATTTATTTCTAGAAATTATTCATAATTTTTATTTATTTATTTATTTTTTATTTATTTCTATTTATTATTTATTTATTTATTTTGCACTAAAATTGCAGGGGCAAGTGAAAATTGCAAAAATACTTGCAAAGTTGACACAGCTTTGGGGTGGTGCTAGAACCTAATTGCCAACAATCAGCTATTGCTACCGTTCAAAGTAGTGCTCAGGGATCATCTCCACGAGCGGCTCCTTTCCTGGCCAGTTAGCATGAGCTAACACAGTAGCAGCAGCTAACATCGAACACTGAGCCGTTAAACAGTCCAAACAACCTCACACTGACATTGAACAGCTTGACTCTGTCGTTAAAGCCATTAATAACCATTGGGCAATGTTAGCTGTGTGATGCTAACTGTTAGCCCTGTCACTGTGTAGGACTCCAAGGCACGGAGCTCACATTTCGGCAGCAGTAGTCTCGTGATAAACAGAAAGACAGAATGTAAGAGAGAAGGGGAAGAAGGGGCTGAAGCTCTACATCGAAATGAGATTTTAACTGTTTTAAATTCTCAAATTTGCAGTTAAGTTGCAGTGACTGGACAGAATTGCAAGGTCATGCAGAATTCACAGGAATTGGCTGAATTTGCGTTATTTGTTGCGATCACAACATCTTGGAGAGCCTATTTATTTTAGCTCTACATGCGCTGAAAATAAAAAATAAATGTGAAACAGAAACTTCACATGTTGCCTCAAACTCAGACTGTGTAAACTCCATCTGCTGACTTAGATCATGTGAAATGATCGAAAGCTCCACAGCAGCTACTGAATAAGATTATTTTATGCAACTGCTGTTTTCAAGCTCAAGAATAAACTTTGAATCTCAGCTCTGTGTTGGTTTATGTGAATTTTCTGCCTTAATTTAACAGTTTTTGTTTGTTTGTTTTCAGAAATGGCCTCCAGCAACAGTCTTTTATCTGAGGATCAGTTTCTTTGTCCCATCTGTCTGGATGTGTTCACTCGCCCAGTTTCCACTCCATGTGGACACAACTTCTGCATGTCCTGTATCTCATCTTACTGGGACGACACGCCGGTCAGCCAGTGTCCAGTCTGTAAGGAGACATTTGAGAGGAGACCAGACCTCAAGGTCAACACTTTCATCTCAGGGCTTGCATCGCAGTTCATGTCGCTTCAAGTGACAGACTCTCACATCTGGAGCCCGGACCAACAGCAGGCTCGCTGTGGTGGAGCGGTGCTGTGTGATATTTGCACTGACACCCAGCAAGAGGCTGTCAAATCCTGTCTGGAGTGTCTGACTTCTTACTGCGACGTCCATCTAGAGCCTCATCACAGAGCTGCCGGCCTAAAGAGACACACACTGGTTGACCCCTTGGCGAGCCTGCAGGACAGGATCTGCAAGGAGCACGCCAGATGCCTGACGCTGTTCTGTATAGACGATGGGGCTTTGCTGTGTGACGTCTGCGCCGGTTTGCGCCACATCAACCATGGCGTCACTTCTCTGCGGCAAGCTTATGAGGAGAAGAAAGCTTTGCTGGGGGACACTGAGGCCAAAGTGCAGCAGATGATCCAGGAGAGGCTGCAGAAGGTCCGAGTCATGAAGGAGTCAGTAGAACAAAGCAAGACAGAATCCAAGGAGGACTTGATGAGACTGGTGTCTGGCATCCAGAAGTGCCAGACGGAGCTTGTGAAGGTGATGGAGGAGAAGCAGAAAGCAGCAGAAGAACAGGCAGATGGGTTTATTAGCAGTATGGAGCGAGAGATAACCGAGCTGCAGAGGACAACAATGAAGCTGAGGGAGCTGAAACAGACTGAAGACCAGCTTTGTTTCCTCCAGAGTTTCCCAAACCAATCCATCCTACCACACACAATGGACTTGTCCACATTAAGTTTAAACAGACAAGCGGAGATACTCTACGTACAGAAATCTTTGAACAAATCAGTGTCTCAGCTGCGAATGTTACTGGATAAAATGAACACAGTAATACAAAAACTCTCTGACGGCACAGACGTGTCAAACGATGCTACGCTGGAATACGTGCAGCAGTATGAGGTGAACATTGTGCTCGATCATGATACCGCTCACCCTTTGCTCATTTTATCTGACGATGGGAAACAGGTGAGATACAGCATGGATTCAGCTTTGTGGGTAAACCCGATCCTAAGCCAGAACACGTTTACTGTAGATCTTGCAGTTCTGGGACAGAGAGGCTTTGGACATAGCTTTTACTTCGAGGTGTTTGTGGGCAGAAAGACAGAGTGGTGTCTGGGCGTGGCCAAGGCGTCAATCCAAAGGAGGGAGGCGGTTGTTCGGAGCCCTCATCGTGGACTCTGGGCCATCTGGTTCCTAAAGAATAAGTTCGAAGCCTTCAGTTCTCCAAATGTGCGGGTATACTCTGGGAAAGTGGAGCGGGTCGGCGTGTTTGTGGATTACAACGGAGGGCAAATTTCTTTCTATAACGTACAGACAGCAACACTCATTCACTCGTTCACTGGGTGTGTCTTTACTGAAATACTGCATCCGTACTTTAATCCTTGTGACAATGAATATGGTTCAAACTTGGGGCCGATGATAATTGTTCCTGTCAATCGTACGGAGTGAGCTGTGGGTTATTTACTAAAATGCAAGTGATGTGTTTGATTGCATATAAAACTCTTCATATTCAAGAGCAGTTTTTTTTTCTTTGCAAAGCTCCTCTTAAAGTTCCTTTCCTGATTTCTGTGTCTGCTGTATCTCAGTGTGCCTTAAATTGAAACTGCCATGTCATATAGGAAAAAAATATATTTGTATACATCATAACCTTGATTAATTATTTAGTTCAAGACAATGTAAAGTGGAGGGAATTAACAGAAGAGCTTAGAGAAACTGGTGGAGGGGAAAGTAGAGTGTGCAGATTACAACTATGTGAGTTTATGTGGTGTTGTTTAGGTCTGGTGTGGTTGCAGAAAATACTTAGTAATTGTTATTTTAAAGAGAAAAATATGATTTTATCTACAGACACAATGTTGTTTAACAAATCAATCTCCAGAGCTCTTCAGTGGATGATTAATATTTAATAAATAAACTAAAAAGAACTAACATGTCTGGGCTGTTACTTCACAAATGAGTGAGTGATCTAACTCCACACACCTATGTAAAGGTAACTAGGGGTTGTTTTGGCAAAACAAACACCATTAAGCATCCAGTGTGTAGGATTTAGGGGGGATATATTGGCAGATATGGAATATAAGATAATAAGTATGTTTTCTGAAGTGTGTAATCACCTGAATGAGCCGTTAACATCAACATAGGGAGCAACATAGGGAGCGCCCTCCGTGACAAGCAGTGTCGAAAAACCCTTTTATGCCTTTTACTTCTTTATACCTAAAAATAGGTGTGTGCGAACTGTAAAAAATATTTAGGGGCACATGTGTGCATAAAAAAAATCAGCCGAAGCAGCCTATATTTTTGTCAATAAAAAATATGATAATCTAGCCGCAAATGTTGGAGGAACTCCAGCCGCCTTCCCTCTTCCCTGTGTGACACGGCCATGGGCGGTTTTCCAAGCCACTGTCGGCACAATGAATATAAGTCCCACTGTCGGCAGCGTGGAAATAAGTCAAAGTGTGGAGAAGACGGACCGGGTTAAGCAGCGGACCTCCGGGGAAGCCTGCTCCGTTCTCCCCGCAGTTAGGGACCGTTCTCCACGGCCAGGCTGTCAGCTGGGTGGAAATAAGTCAAAGTGTGGAGGAGACGAGGGACCGGGAAAAGCGGTGGACCTCCGGGGAAGCCTGCTCCGTTCTCCCCACAGTTAGGGACCGTTCGCCACGGTACCGCTGCTGGGCAGGGTGGAAATAAGTCCTGCAGAGTTTCAGAGGACCTGGAGAATGTTTTAGGATAGTAATAACATTATATAAGATCATCATATTGCAAAGATAATATATATAAGATAATAACATTAAAGACAAAATTAAATTGCAATACTTTTTCAAAACTTGATGATTTTACCTTTCTGTAAATTTTGTATACAAATTCATTAAATAATTTTGCTTGTAAATGTCTTTTTGCATCACGTTTATTACGGAAAACACATTATTTGATCAATTTACATCGTGCCCCTAAAGTTCTTTGTGCGCTCCTTACTTTTTCAACTTAGGAGCACATGTGCTCCTTGGGAAAAAAGTTAGTGTCAAGCCCTGCCCCCACCTAATTTTAGTGATCATCAAGTCTCTTCTGTAGTGGTATTAACATCATGTTATGCATGCATATTGTTATCGTGATGGCTCACCAGCAGATGGAGACATGAAATAAAATACTTTTCAATGTGTAATATTCATTCAATGTGCAAATTAAAAAAAAAGCATGCTGGCCGATTCTTATGTTTCATTTTAATTTGAAATCCGAAATTTGTTGTGCATCCTTACTTTCCATAGAACATAGCACTGAGATATTGGTCCAGTTCCATTAATGCAGACTATGACCTGAAGGCTGAGGGCACTATGTCATGTGTTAGAGGGCTGTCTGCTTGACTTTTGAACCCTTAATGCAGACTCTCTGTCAGCCTGCAACACTACAGACTCAGCTTGGCAGAATAACTCACGATGCAAAGATTAAAAAGGCAACTGTGGTGTAATTCCCCTCTTGAAAAATCAATACATTTTCCTGTTCAGTATGAACAAGTGGGGCTGCTGCTGTCCATAATTGTTTTGTCAGAAAATAACTAAAAATGCTCAAAAATTCCTAAAGCACAATATTTAAAAAAAAACTGAAATATAAATCCTCAAACACTAAATAATACAGAACACACTCAGACATTGGACCCAAAACAACCCTCACTGGTATCCAAACCTAAAAAAGCCTCTGACTTCATAGACAAAAATGTGTCTGTCCCTTTAAGAAACATGACACAGGAAGAAACTGAAAGTGTACTTCTTTCCTGGAAAACACCTACGATCTCTCTCGTCATCATTTCACCTTTACAGAGCAACACAGACAGACGTAAGTAGCCTTTACTGAGCCAGACGTTCATGTGTAGGTTGTTGTTTAATGAACTTGCTGTTATTTGAGCAGTTTTGTTGGGAGCTGTCACTTTATCATGCACATTTAAAATGTGTTGTTGTAATTAATGAAATAACCTAAATACAAGATCAATTCAGTGGGCTTTCATCATATCATTAAATCATTTTATATTGACTTGTATATCTATATAAGTATGTTTATATTTGCCTTAAATGTATGGATTTTTTCAACTATATATATGTGTTTTTTTATTTGCTCTTGTATTTATATTTCATATTGTTATGTTTTACATGTCTTTGTTACTATTTTACTCTTTTGCTTTAATGGAGCCTCCCAGCAAAAGTATTTCACACGATAGTACTCGTCCAACCGGACTGACAACAAACAGCTTGACTCTTGAATATCACGTGATCATCTGCAGATAAGAGTTTGGCTGGTTCTTGTTAGCTGGAAAGTTGAGATTCAAGGTTGATTCTTTACGCTGGTAATAGCAGTTAACAACAGCAACAACAAAACATACCACAAGGTTTATTTATTAGGTTTCTGAAGCTTTAACATGTCTTTGTGGAGAAAACTGCAAACTATTGTGGTGATTTTCTGCAACTGCTGCTTTTAAAGTCAGGATGGACAAAAAGTCTATGAAAACATGGTGAAATATTAAAAGAAACACTGTGTGTCCTCTTGGTAAATGTCATATAGGTTAAAGATTTTTTTGTTTCTTTTTCTCTTACAACATTTTTGATGACACATCCTGATCTTGGGGCTCTATTACATACATTTATTTAAAGCAAAGACAACAACACAATGCAGGTTTCACATTTTTCTACAGAAACCTGCTTTGAGGTAGGAAATGCATTGAGGAATGCAACTAGCAATTATTTTCATTATTGATTAATCTGACAATTATTTTCTTGATTAATTATTAATCATTTGGTTCATGAAAGATCAGAATATTGTTTTTAAAAAAATCAGTTTCCCAAAGCCTAAGACGACATCTTCAAATCTCAGTGAAACCTTGCCATTTTGCCTATCTTTAATCTATTATACAAATAACTGCAGATTAATTCTGTCTTTTGATTAATCGATAAATTGTTTCAGCTCTTAATGCACTGAAAAGAAACACTATGGCCCCGATCACACAAACAGCATTCTACAGGTTGCAAAACGCGAGGCGCACCACACTGCCTTTTTTTACTGAATGCCACTAGTAAAAAAAAACAACACTTGCTGCACCTTTTTATTGTTGCCAAGCAACCACCCCATCATATCTTCATACTAACCCTACCGTATGTTTTCTCACAGTAATTAGTATCTAGTTCCTGACATGTTGAGGCAGAGGGTACTTGCTGTAGCTCTGGTTGAGGGTGAGAGGCTGTCAGTAAATAGTTTGTTGGGCACAGGGAAACAGAGATCTGTGTGGGTACATGAGACCCTAAAAAAGAGGGTGGATCATGGGGAGCAACACCAGTCGGTCCAGGAGCTTCGTCTTGATATTTTAGGATGACTTGGGGGCAGTTTGACAACCTGCTGTCTATTGTCAGGCCGTATAGCTCTGGGTATCCAGCAACCACTACCACCATTTTCTACTCCATTGTTTACCAACTGTAAACTTGTTCTCGTGACCACCACGCCTCTCAAATCAATTGGACAATGGGAAAAAAGATGATGTGTGGCTTATTTCTGCTCTGAGTAGACATTTTTTCAACTCACGGAGTTCAGAGCGCTCTGGCAAAAACACCAGGTGCCTACAGTGCAGAAACTTGAGGTGCATCGCAATGCAAAAACTGAAGCAGAAAGCTTCTTTCTCCTTAAAAACAAACATTACAAAAAGGCGCCTCCAGCTGCTAAAATGCTTTCTGTGTGTTCAGGGCCTCAGTGTACACACAGACAATATTTAGAACCTCCACAGGGTGCATCTGAAGTGCATGTAAATTGGAACAGGTCTAACCTGTGTAACAACAGCAATAAGAAGTTTGTTGATCTGGCGGGGGGTCGGAACTGTCCAGTCTGGCTGGATTCTGGTTGCTGTGGCCACTGACTGGGAGTTAGTCTGCGGAGGTGCTGCCCACTCTCCTCCCTGTGAGGTGGTCTGTAGCAGTGGGGAATGACGGGGAAGAAACTCTGTGATTTTGATGCTCTAGCTAACGTTAGCTACCCAACCGTGAACATGACACTGCAGTTGTGAGCCTTTGGCTTTGATTAGCAGAAGGCTAAATTATTAGCAACATTTTCTTACATCTCTGAAACGCTTTGCTTATTTTGGGTGTGGTTACATGATGGCTTGTCATTCTGAATGAGGGTTTACACGGGAGATCAATTTAATCGCCTTTTAATCACCTGTATTCAGGTCCGCGCAAGGTTTGGGACAGGGAAGGTTTCTGATTGGATAGGGGGCGAGGCGGATGTTACGTGTTTATGCTTACCGAAAGAAAACACTGCAGTCCTCGTTCCGGATAACAAGATGCTTGACAAGAAGCAGCAGTACGACAACAACCTTGTTCTGCTAATGCTTCGTTTGTTGAGGAGGAGAAGGGAGGTAGAAGGTCTAAGAAGGGAGACAGAAGACCGTGCTGTGGCGAATAGAAACCGGTTAGTGCAACGAGTCCTACTGCTCTACTCAGCCCGTTGCTATGCGTGCTATATATGTCGTCTCACCAGAAGGGCAAGGAAACTAGCATGCGCAGAAAGACCAGAATGAACTTATAGAGGAATGAGTGCATACAAGTGCGAGAAATTCTTTCATTCGGAATTAGAAATGGAATGTTCCAGCTCCTTACATCAGATTGAATTTTCAATCGCATTGGCCATTTTCATTCTGAATTAGGTGTTTACAAGATGACTTCTAATAGGAATGAACTTTCATTCTGAATGAAAAGGGAATTAAACTGTCCATGTAAACGCACTCATTGACACGTGTTTTATGTTGTTCATTGTCAGACTCTCTTTTTGATAAGTCTGTCTTTCTTTTCTTGTGTTGCGTTGCAGTGTATGCAGTTGTTGAGGATGCTGAAATAGCAAACACTGAGTCCTCTGTATTTGCTGAACAGCCAACAGGAACACCCTCTCTCTGAAATGACCTTTGATTTGTCGAAGTGTCCCGTCACAGGCTAGATTTTCTAAAGCCTGAAAACAAAGCCAAGAAGAGGTGAAGAAGTCTAATGTTCTCTCAGTTCACTTGTCTTACAGTTTATTATGGGATTTTTGCCCAATGACGCCAAAATTAAACTGCCTGCCCCAGCTTTAATGTAGCTGTTATTGTTTGTTTGTTTTCAGAAATGGCCTCCAGCAACAGTCTTTTATCTGAGGATCAGTTTCTTTGTCCCATCTGTCTGGATGTGTTCACTCGCCCAGTTTCCACTCCATGTGGACACAACTTCTGCATGTCCTGTATCTCATCTTACTGGGACGATACACCAGTCAGCCAGTGTCCAGTCTGTAAGGAGACATTTGAGAGGAGACCAGACCTCAAGGTCAACACTTTCATCTCAGGGCTTGCATCGCAGTTCATGTCGCTTCAAGTGACAGACTCTCACATCTGGAGCCCGGACCAACAGCATGCTCGCTGTGGTGGAGCGGTGCTGTGTGATATTTGCACTGACACCCAGCAAGAGGCTGTCAAATCCTGTCTGGAGTGTCTGACTTCTTACTGCGACGTCCATCTAGAGCCTCATCACAGAGCTGCTGGCCTGAAGAGACATACACTGGTTGACCCCTTGGCGAGCCTGCAGGACAGGATCTGCAAGGAGCACACCAGACTGCTGACATTGTTCTGCACAGACGATGGGGCTTTGCTGTGTGACATCTGTGCCGGTTTGCGCCACATGAAGCATGGCGTAGTTTCTGTGCAGCGAGCTTATAAAGAGAAGAAAGCTTTGCTGGGGGACACTGAGGCCATATTGCAGCAGATGATCCAGGAGAGGCTGCAGAAGGTCCGAGCCATGAAGGAGTCAGTAGAACAAAGCAAGACAGAAACCAAAGATGTGATCGCAATCAGCGTGCAGGACTTGACGGCACTGGTCTCTGAGATCCAGAAGTGCCAGACGGAGCTTGTGAAGGTGATGGAGGAGAAGCAGAAAGCAGCAGAAGAACAGGCAGATGGGTTTATTAGCAGTATGGAGCGAGAGATAACCGAGCTGCAGAGGAAAACAATGAAGCTGAGGGAGCTGAAACAGACTGAAGACCAGCTTTGTTTTCTCCAGAGTTTCCCAAACCAATCCATCCTACCACACACAATGGACTTGTCCACATCCAGCTTTAACAGACAAGTGGAGATACTCTACGTACGTAAATCTCTGAACAAATCAGTGTCTCAGCTGAGAATGAATCTGAATACAATGAACACAGAAATACAAAAACTCTCTGACGGCACAGACGTGTCAAACGATGCTACGCTGAGATATGTGCAGCAGTATGAAGTGGACGTTGTTCTCGATCCTGACACTGCTAACCCTAGCCTCATTTTATCTAAAGACAGGAAACAGGTGAGATACAGCATGGATCTCAGTGTTCGGAGAAACCAGAACCTGAACCCTAAAATGTTCACTGTAGCTCTCGCAGTTCTGGGAAAGAAAGGCTTCTCACGTAAGTTTTACTTTGAAGTGTTTGTGGGTGGAAAGACAGAGTGGTGTCTGGGTGTGGCCAAGGCTTCAGGCCAGAGGAGGGGGAAATTTGTTCGGTGTCCCGGCTCTGGATTCTGGGTCATCCGGTTCCAGAAGGACAAGTTTGAAGCCGTCCTTTCACCAAACGTGCTGGTACACTCAGGAAAAGTGGAGCGGGTCGGCGTGTTTGTGGATTATGATGGCGGGCGAATTTCTTTCTATGACGTACAGACAGCAACACTCATTCACTCGTTCACCGAGTGTGTCTTTACTGAGAAACTGCATCCGTTCTTTAATCCTTGTGACAATGAATATGGTTCAAACTTGGGGCCGATGATAATTGTTCCTGTCGGTCGCACAGAGTGAACGGAAGTGTCAGAGACTCAGTGATTTGAGATATAAAAAGAGGTATTTACTAAAATGCAATTGATGTCTGATGTGTTTGACTGCAATTAGGAATGTCTGTTTCAATTAATATTGCTTTTGGTTGCCTGACACCCATTAACTGGTAGTCTCGCCACCAGACAATCAGAGATCTCTGCCTTCTGATAGTCTGAGGACACTTCTTTCTAAAGTGTGTTTAATACACCGGAGAAAACGACCGGCAACAAAGCAACGCCTCTTGCATTTTTGAAAAGGACACGCCCTCCCGGAAATGTGCGCTCCCCCTTTTCTCGTCTGCAAGGACACAAACACACAGAGAGCTTGAAAATGGATGCCGAGAGATTTAACTCCGTTTTATCAAACGTGTGCTCAGTCCACAAGATTGTGGAAATGAAGGACTTACAGTGACTTGAGCCATTTTGTACCGCTGCACGTGTTTCTAGTCGGACTGTGTTTACGAGCACAAGAGTTCAGCGAGCCACCGAAGGACCGCCCTGCAGATTTACTATTGGTTCTGCAACGTAGGGAGTTTTTTTTTAAACTCTGAAATTGTATCCGCCCATCTAAACACAAAATCAGGGAGAAAGTCATCAGTCTTTAGTTAAGCAAAGCATCTAAAGACTGACTTGTGAGTCTAATTAACTGGTAACTAACCGGTTAATTTTAAAGAAAAAAAAAAAAAAAAACGCAAAATGGCGTGAAATACAAGAGGCCTTTACATTAAGTCCAAGGCTCCATTGACTGGGTGAGCTTTAGCACTGCATTTCAAATAGTGATGCACCGAATATTCGGTAACCGAATATATTCGGCCGAATATTGAAAAAAACCCCCCACACATTCGGTATTCGGTGGAATAAGTGAAAAGCAAGGCTGAATAATAGCGGCGTGTTTTGATAACGCAATCAAACAGCGTGCGGTGATGGACAGAGTAAAATGTCAGCAGTGTGGCGATATTTTACTCCCTCCGTCACCGCACTCGCATTTGTGACTAAAAATAGTTTTGTGCGAGCAAAATAAATCATTCAGCACGCTGTGTGAGTACAGATTTCAACCAGCAGCAGCAATACGGCAGCCATAGTGCTCCGCGGTGCAAGAAAAAGCTTACCAGCGACGGAGAAGTCTGGTTCCAATAATGTCCTCTTCTTGGCGTCATGACTGCCCAAAAGTACCTGGACAGCCAAGCCGTGGCAGCACACAGGTATGTGACGTGTCAGAGGAGAGACGAGCCGTTCACATTACTCTTTGTGGCAGGTAACGGTCCACAAACCTCACCGCACTTTAGGGACTGTTCTTTACTTGTCAGGGTAAGAGGGTGGCTGGTTGATTTTTATTTCATTTATTTATTTTATTGAAGTATGAATAAGTCAATAAGTAATTTATTCCATTGAAATATCATTGATGTATTAAAGAAAAGTGATTTATCTTTTTATAAATGACAAAAGGCACATCTGCCTCTTTTTCGCTGTGGTATCGTGATACTACTCAGAACCGTGATATTTTCACTGGTATCGTACTGTGGGTCCCAATTTTGGTACCGTGACAACACTAATCTGGAGGGGGTTCATCTGCAAAAACTAATGAAAAACTAAACAACGGTATTCAGTATTCGGCCAAGCGTTTAATTTTATTCAGCTTCGGCTTCGGCCACAAATTTTCATTTCGGTGCATCCCTAATTTCAAAGCACTGTCCATTTAGAGGACATAGCGCCCACTGCACACCCTCCGGTTTCCACTGGTGAGCTAACGTTAGCCTCAGCTGCTCACACCAGCCGTGTCTAGTTGATGCTAGCTAGCAGCGCCACAGATTCGGGATTGCTGCTGGTAACGGCGACCAAGTGGTGGGCAGACATTGCTGCAGAAACATAGTGGTCACCTTTCGAGCTCCCCCCAGGTACACCCAGTGTGTAAGCAGTTTCATTTTGAGCCACAAGACCTCTTTAGCTTTGTTAACTACTGCCAACAGTGCTAACAGAGCTAACAATGAAGTTAACGGTGCTAAAGGGGTTTAATTGTTGGGTTCAGACAGTGTTACTAGAGGTAATAGCCGAATGACTAGTTCTGCTAGCCAGCACCTACCCTATCCCGGCTGGTGCGCAGTGCAAAGTGCTAGCTAACCAGTGGAGACCGGAGGGGGGGCAGTGGGCACTATGTTTCTGCATGTCAGTGAGGCTAGCCAGCTGTGTGCCTCCCACTAAATCCAGGTAGTGCACAGGGCAGTAAACTGAAGAATAGCAAAATTAACCTATAACTTAACCTTCAAAAATATTCCCTGTGCTTAATTGATTAATGGTCAACCATCAACATCATGAACTGCAATTAAAAATGTTGTCAAAAATACACAACAGAAATCAATAGAAATCTAAGGTGTGCAGATTAAACTATTTGATTAAGTGAGGTGGTGTTGTTAATGTTTGTTTTGGTTGCAGAAAACACTTCGTAATAATTATTTCAAAGAGGAAAAAATATGAGTTGTTTATGGGTAAGATGTTTTACAACAAATCTATATCTTTAGAATTTGTTTTGCTCAGGGGACAATGGCAATATCTGTGTGATTCCCCATTGTAAAAAAATACTTTTTCCCTTTTAGGTATAAAGACTAGGGGTAAAAGTTTTGTTTAAATATGCAAATAACGAAGTATGCAATAAAATATGCACAGATTTTCAGGACTTTAAACACTTGTTTAATTTTGTTAAAATTTTCAATTGTTTTACAGAGGGAATTTTGAATACTATTTTTGTACTATTTTTTCGATAAATCAGAAAATACAGTCAACAGCCATAAAAAAACATTTTCGTCATTTTTTCAGGAACAAAATGTTTTATAAATCAGCCTATGAGTGACATATGAACAAACCCCCTCTTTAAAAACCTTCAGTTTTGGTGAAAGTTTGGTGTTTGTAAGTGCTAATGAAGTTAAGATTTCTGGTTCAGTGTGTATGAGAAAACAGCCTTTACAGATGTGTATTGTCAAATTTCATACATTTTTAGACAAAAGAAAGACACTACAAGTGAATGGGGTAAAATGAGAACAAATAGAAATCACCATGAAACTTGCCTAGTTGGTTATCTACATTAAGAACATTTCTTTTTGTGTTACAAGTTTTCAAAAAATGTATGTTTAAATATGCAAGTAATGCATCATCTAACTAAATATGCAGTTTTTTCATACATTTCCAGAACAGAAATCAGAGTTCAATTAACCACCTAAATGTTTATTTTGGACATTTTCCTTCCACCACTCTAAAAGAAGACAAAATAGTCCAACATCTCAAGACTGAGCAGTGTATGAAATAGCTGTTTTCACTTGCACCTTAATTAACAGCCTTAAAAGGTGGTTAAACCTCCACGATTCTTCTACATGAGCAGACATGTAGGTTCTTAGGCTGATTTTGTTTTTATGGTAACAGAAAATGTATGCCTTGTCACTGCAATTAAAATATGTTTAAAGCTGTATATGATCTGTCATAAAACGTTAACAGCCAGCTTGATTAAATTTTAATAAAGAAAAAAAGCATTACATAACTAAACCAGGCAACATTTTCATCATTTCCATCATCAATGAAAACAGGGCGTCTTAAAATGTCTTTTTGTTTTGATGGTATTATGACTCTGCATCTTTAAATTCTCCTCTCTTCACTTTTAAATTTCACCTCCTCCCTTGTCGTGTATGCCTCATTCATGTTCTTTAATTCATCTCAACACCCTCAGCATTCACACACACACACACACACACACACACACACACTCGCTGCTAACACCCTCCTCATTGCCACGACAACGGTACTCTGCCCATCGCCATGGGAACACTCAGTCTCCCTGCTACCCATAATCCATTTCCCAGCCACAATGAGTATTTGACACGGTTCACACTCGGAGGCTTGCTGTATGGGAGGTGGGCAATGTGTGGAAACAGCATCTTCTACACAAAACACACACTTTATAATAAATATGGAATATCTCTTTTTCATTGTTTAACCTGGTTCCTGATACAAATTTGTGCAACAAAGGAGAGCCGGAGGGAACAGACAAGCATCTTGTGCAACATTTGCTGAATTCTTGTACTCTCCTTCGGAGAGCCTCGAGGTGGTTTCCACATGATCGAGCTAGTTAAGCTGGTTTTTGCAGATAGGTGAGAGGTGTGTTTATAATTGCATGCCATTGCAACACACAGCGGTGAAGGCACAGATATTTCAGCGCTGGAAATGAGCCTGAGAAGGAGGAGTTCCTCGCCCCACCCCCCAACATGGCCTCCGCTCCTCCCAGGGATGTAGAGAAAGGAGAGAAAGGAGGGGAATTAAATGCAGAGGGGTGCAGGCCGGAGGGAAGAGGAGAGGTAAGATTTAATGTGGGAGCAGGGTTGTGGCGGGTGGATAGAAGAGAGAGGAGAAGAGGCGTCAACAGAGGGGGTTTCATGAGTCAGAATGTGGGTTAAACTGGAGGGAAAAACACAGATGGAGAAGAAGGGAAGAGATGGTGTAGGAGGGGAGGCCGGATGGAGGGACGTTTTGATTTATAGCTGAGAGTACGGACAGGATGAGGGTGATGTGTTGGGAGTATCACCTCCCACTCACCTGAGTTCTGCACCTCGTTTAAGTAACTGTCCTCAGCCACCACCTGCAGACGGGAAGACAGAGGCAGCCAGTTAGACAGAAGACCAGAATTTCATCTGAAAATATCTCAGTATACCACACGTTATTACTGATACCAGAGCAGACCAACAACACCAGAGACTGCAGAGGTTATGTTTACTGCTCCTTTCATCTGTTAATTAGCAGATTATCTCAGAAACCTGATGGAAAAATTAGGCACTGGGTCTAGGGACATGAAGTTATTTATACTGTGAGTGGAGAGAAATAAGTCTCAATATCAGTGACAAATGTATTTCATGATGCACAAATAAAAACAAGCTCTTTGAAATATACATGATTTCTAATTGACGTATTGTGATCACAAATCCTCCACTCCACATCAGATATTGTCACACACATTTGTAAATCTTTTTTTAATTTTTTTTTTTTTATCTGGATCACGAAACTCGATTTGTCACTGCTATTGGGACTAATTTCTCTCCATATTCACAACACACTTAAATGAATAGTTTGCCATTTTGGGAAAAACAGATATTCACTTTCTTTTTCACCATTCACTTTGTTGTTGCGCAATTTTTGGACAGATCAACAAACCGAGACATAACATGTTAAATTAGTGAGCCATATAGGTGCTTATGGTCAGATTTGGTACTTTTGGACAGAGCCAGGCTAGCTCTTTCCCTCTGCTTCCACTCTTTACGCTAAGCTACGCTAATCATCTGCTGGATGTAGCTTCATATTTAACGTACAGACACGAAAGAGGTATCTTCTAACTTGCAGTAAAAAAAAAGCAACAAAAAAAAGCCCCGTTTCCACCAAACACTTTCAGTATGGTACCTTTGGAACCAACAGTAACCCTTCAGACATGGTACCTAGACCCTAGTGTTTCCACCACAAACAGTACTCTTAAATGTGGGCGGGGTTGTTGTCACTCACTGCTCCGTCCAGCACTCACTGTATTTCCTCATTACCGGTGACACAGATGGAAGTCTGCACCTCGTTTATCGTCCACAGAACGAGGCTGCACGCCGACATTTTCAGAACAAAATAAAACAGGCTGCAGTGAGAGTCTCTCTCCATGGGATATTTAAAAATAGCAGGTTTGTGCATTTAGTCCTTCTCAGGCAAGCTCAGGGGTTTAGTGTTGCTGGAGCCCACAGGAACAACTACGATGCTTTTTTTTTTCTCTGAGTGAGAATTAGAATATATGCAGTTCACATATCCTGGTCAAAATTAATATATGAACACTTTAGGATCCACTCATTACTAAAAGTGTATGTCATATAAAAACTAAAGTGATGGTCAAAGTTGTCACAGTGAAATTTAAGGTGTGTTGATGGATTCATGTCGTCACCTCATGCATTGAGTAACATTACAAGTTATCGTTCCACCTTAAAAGTCACCAGCAGTCGGCCCAGTGAATTAAGTTATTTTTTCTCAGACTCCAGCTGCTGTGAGAGGCAGCAAAACATCCTTTCATTTTATAGTTACAGTTTACTAATAAAACTCTCCACAGTATGAACAGTGGTTACATGAGCCTCAAAACCAGCCACAACTCAGCCCTGAGCAGAGTGACCGTCCTCTACTGACCAATCAACAGACTGCAGTGTTCACAGCTCCACCTTTTAGTACCAGATCTGTGTGCTAGGTACCCCAACAGAGAGGGGACCAAAAATGGGGACGGCACAAAAGTCAGTCAGTCAGTCAGACAGTTTATATACCCATCCATCCAGACTGACCTCCTCTCTAAAAGGTTTGACAGCAACAACATCCCACTACTTCCACCTTTATTCATCTAAACAATACAGTCATACAGCCTATTATTTTAAGTGAAAATGACCAGTGCTGTTGTTTTCAGGTGAGGACAGTCTCCTTGAAGACATTATGTAACTGCATCCAAATATAGATGAAACATGCACAAATTTGGAGGTTGTCTGTACACAGGCCAGGAATTCAAATGGTCCTTAAAAGAAGGATCTGACTCATTCTTGTTGAAACAGTACAGTAATAATTTCACACTGTTTTCTGTAACAGGAATCTGCTTCAGCCTTGGTGAAGGTGTTTCTCCGTATTCTTAAAGATGAAATAATCTCAGGTCAAAGCCAGAAACCAGAGGGTAAAGAAGAAGCTGTAAACTCAGGCGCGTTTTCACAATTTACTCACAAGTTTATTCATTAAGGGCAGGGATAACCAAAGGAAAACGAGTTTAAGACACCTAAGTGTGAGAGCGTAGCATACAGTGTAAACACACACACACACACACACACACACACACACACACACACACAAACTCTAATAGTACCAGACAGCATCAGATGATATCTGACAGAGGAGTGTCTGTTTCATTTTCAGAAATCAGGTCACACCTCTACACAGCGGGGCACCTTGCAGTAGAGAGAGGACACACACACACACACACACACACACACACACACTGTGCTGCCGCTGTGAAATAACTGTAGTGCAGTGAAATACAACACATTTCACCTTCACATAGGTGAGCTCTGCTCTCCCGTTGTCTCTCTACGACAACGCACAACTCATAACACACACACACACACACACACACACACACACACACACACGCACACACAAAACACACATCCAGGCGCCTCCCAGGAGTCTCCGCTCAGCCTAATGATATTACAGCAGGAACAGGTGACCTGTGGTCATGAACATGGGTGCTGATATCTCCATTCATATATCAATCACACGGCTCGATTACAGAGCTAATCAGTTATGACGCTCTCACAGCTGTGTCCAGTGCTTGCCCATGCAAACACACACACACCAAACACACACACACACACACACAACAGAGCTGGGACTGTACAGATAGACTGGAGCAAATACAGGAGCAAGTCCATTTCTGCACTAGGTGAAAACACATTACTGCAGGGCTCCAAAGCTTTTAGTCCTAAGTGATAAAAACTGTGGTACCTGGCTGACTGCTGCTGGTACGGTTTTATGTTTGTTTGTCTTCAGTTGCTTTTCTACTTCTAAAATTTGGGCACCACGCCCAACGGATTTAACCCCAAAGAGCTCCAAACTTGTAAACGCCCAGTTTATGACAGTTGAAGTGCTTTAAGTTGAGGATCTATCATTACATGTAAGCTTCACAACATATAAAACACGTTCTGTGCCTGGTCACGCCAGAAAGTGGGACAGCAGAATTCATTCATGTGTCATCCCGAAATCGGTAAAGAGCTTTGTGACAAAGTGACCAATTACAATAGTTTAAAACAAACATACTTGCACCATCCACTTCTCCCTCATCTCTTTTGTGGAGAGTTTTATACTTGGGCAAAGTAGGCTTATATAAAACTGGTTGATGCAACACAGCTAGTGTGACAGTAGGGCAGCAACTAATGAGTATTTTGTCAACTGGTTTATAAAATGCCAGAAAATAAATGAAAAATGTCCATCACTATTTTGTTAAGCCCGATTTAACATTTTCAACCCGCTGATTTTGTCTGACCAACAGAACAAAACCCAAAAATACAAGAAAACTGGCCAAAGTCCTCACTTTAGAGACTGGAACCAGTTTCTTATTTGGCATTTTTGCTTTGTTATGTTCCCCAGCAGTGTTTTCTTTTTCCTAGTTTAGGAAGTGCTACATAAAGAACACAGTACAGGTCTTTGACACAAGAGACCAGAGGTTTACATCCTGACTCTCACCTAGAGTTAGGTTTAGGCCACAAAAGCACTTTGGTCAAGGTTTGGAGGAGGTGGACGTTTCGGTTGAATGTCAGTACAGTAAATCTAACACAAATTACACGTTTAAACAGCTCCCAGGTTTATGACAAAATCACTTGACGACAGCGACTCCTGTGTGCGCACTGCGAGAGAGGAGAGGGAGAGACGCTGTGCTGCTGCCAGAGGAGCCGCTGATTGAGTTCCCTCTGAGCGGTAAGTCACTAAAAGAGTCTGAGAAGTCCGGGGCTGTTCATGAAACATTCAGGACGCCACAGTTTATTCCACACTACTGAAGCTGCTCCTCTTTCTGGAACCACTGTGGTGTCGGTAATAATTTCACTTTCAGCCATGCTTTATGTTGCTGAAATATCACGAGTATCCCGATACGAATTTTTCATATCATATGAAGAATTATACTGGTATTATCGTGAACAATATAATATGGCACACCCCTAGTGCATGTGTCTTTTGAGACTTGGTAGGTTTGTTAATTAACATTTTCTTCTTATGTTGATGTTAGATGTATTTAATGTGTATTTAATGGAGACACGGTTGGTGAATTTGCATCTAGACAAATGCTTACAGCAGATACAGTAGGTGTTATACGCTGGTGGGCACAAAGAATGACAGCATGCTGCCACAGTCACACGTGTGAAATTAATATTGGTGAATATTCACCTCCTGTTTACTTCCATTCAATGCAAGCGAAGGGGCAAATAAAACGTTTACTTCTGATGGAAAAGGAAATCCGCATTTTCACATCATGTGAAGTGCAACTTTGGTGACCTCTAACAGAAAGGAAGGAAACATAACTGGAAGGAGGAAACACTGATTGTTGCCTTGTCTAAAAGCCAAAATTGTGTGATACTGGCTATGAACTACACAAACTGCCCCACATGAAAGATGCTGCCTGGCTGACAGTGAGTTGGGACACAAGCATGGAACACAAGATAATGGAAAAGGTACTAATACTAATACATTTAATGGAATTCATTAGGAAGCTGGCTAACATTAGCTAGCAAGCTGGTTTTCTGTGGGAGTCACACCCGCCACTGTCGACATTCAGCATGAATATCACCTCAGAAGGCAACAGTCACTCACATGCATTCGCTCCTGTGTGACTGTGCCCTCAGTCTTTACAGGAAGTTTAAACGACAACATATGTTCATATTGAAGTGAGAAAAAACCCTTTGGTGGCTGCAGCAATTATGACAGGAACAAAAGAAGAAGAAGAGACAAAGTCTACATAGGGAGGAGGTCGAGGTAGATGGATGGCTCAACATAACATCAGACTGTATCGTCGGAGACAGCTGTTCATTTACCGTTCTCTACAGAGAGTGAACCCTTTTTTCTTGTAGAGTATGATCACAATCTTTTCCTAACCTTAACCACATGTTTACTATTGTAACAATCAGTACGTTTACATGCACAGTTAGGTCCAGCTATGGTTATAGCTTCTTCATCTGTTAGGCATGTAATGCTTTTTGACTTCTGGGTCAAAGCCCAGGGCAGCTGTGGGCCCAACTGACTGTATACATGCAGGAGGAATTTGACTCCCAATCAAATTATCGTCTTAGTCCGGCTTTGAGATATTCGATTTGGTACGATTTAATGTTAACATGTATTTTAAAAGTCTGGTTTTAGTCGGACTAAGGCAATAAATTGATTTTCTCTTATGTCATGTAAACGTACTGAAGTACTTATTTTAACCCAAACCATAATCTTCATGTTCATGTAACCAACCCAATACCTTACCGATAGAGATGAACTGTAGTAAACTACCCTCCATCGTACCACTGACCACATCTCTCAGCTCAAATGTATAACGCATCATCCTGCAGATTTTCACTGGCTCTAGGGCTGTTGTTCAAACTACAGATTATACGTCTACATTTCTGTATGCCTGCCACCACGAACACAAAGAGTACAGAAGTGGATCAAGAGAGAGACCCACCCCTCCTTCTCTCTAAAACAGTGGTTCCCAACTGGTCCAGCCATGAGGTCCACATTTCTTTTTAGTCATGAGTTCAAGGTCCACACAGTTTAATACTTGGGTTTGACCATGTCGTCGAGTTGCTGTCTGTTAGTCACTCACTCTACAGCAGGAAATGGACTTCAAGATAAAAGATCTCTGCCAGAAATTCACTGTACTAAAAAATAAAGAGGGTTTTTTATAAACTTGACATGTTTGCGAGTCACTTGTGGTCCACTCAGAAAGGACCCACGACCGACTTTTGGACCACGACCCACCAGGTGGGAATTACTGCTCTAAAACTCAGTCCAAACCCCGGTCAAACAGTAAAAATAGGCAATGCTAATCAAATGTAAGCCAAAATTCTGTTACTCTTATTGGCCATTTCTTGCCTAAAATGTCTTCAAAAACTATTTTAGTGTACTGTTTGGCTGTTACACGATACTGTTTTCTGCTTTGTAAAAAACGGAGGCTGGAAATACTGAAATCAAAACTAAGCAGTGCTAATAAAATAGGAACCAAGATTCTGTTACTGCGTTACCTTATTATCATCTAAATTGTTTTCAGGAACGTATTTTAGCTTACTGCTTTACTGTAATTTGACGTCTTTTGTTACCAGTCGCCGGCTAAACTGTTTCCTGTGTCAAAACAGCTTAGCTCGTATTGCATCACCCAAGAGCATGAGCGTTAATTGGTAGCTGTAGGTTTCCTACCAACACATACTGCGACCTCGTCACATATTGTCGTTTGGTCATGGACTTCCCACGTACACATACAACATGCAAGGTACCCTGGGTGCGTTGGATGTTGACGTTCTGGAACACCGTGTCAAGTTCTGCCCATTACATGCATTGTCTTCTTTCAACATACACTTCTGTTTTCACAGGAAATCTTACATTTACATACAGTCTCTTTCAAAATAAACGCACTACGTCAGTACAACACTGGGAAATGCCATTTTTTTTCCTTCAACAACAAACACATGTGGTTGGGTTTAGGGAAAAAAACAGGGTTTTGCTTTAGAGTCTTACAGGACGCGAACACCACTCTCTCGGGCAAAAGTTGGTGTTTGTTGGACCCATCCACCACATCTCCTGCCTGCCCCAGTTGGACTTTCACCGCCTTAACTTTCATCCTTGTCCCGCCGCATTTCCCCCTGACACTGCCGGGCACTGTGAAACTATAACAGCAATTAGCTGCATATCATGCTGACATTAAGGGCGCCTTTTTTCGTTTGTTTCTGACACCGTAAGTCACTGCCCAAGCGCCAGATTTCTACGACCTCTGAGTGAGACCGGGCTCTTTCTACCTCTTGAGCAAGCCATCTTTCTCTGTTAGTAGCTGCGTCCTTCTACTGCATAGACAGCCCCATTTTATAAAACGACCATTTCCAGCGATGAAATACTTCTTTAATGGTGATTAGTTGGTTAGGACACCAACAAACAAAATATTTTCTACTTTAATTTGGGGAACTTGTTAGTTTGTGACTACAGTATTTATGCCACTTTATTTTGATGTTCTACTTGCACACAGTGCACTGGGACACAGGGCCCTGAGTGGGACCCCAGGACTCTCTTAAGGTATATCCACCCATGTTGGGAACTTAATCCTACAACTACAGCTTAACGTTTCAACATGAAGCTATCTTAAGACTTTTGCTCTATGAAAATGAAGTACTGTTGGGGGTGATTCAGAGAAAAGCAGAGTTTTCTGAGAACTGCTGGCTATAGGTTGATTTCCACACTTTGATTCCTTTCTGTTTACTTGTGTACACGTCTGATGTTTTGTTACGATGTTATGTAGCCTCATCCTGCGTTCAGAATTCTCCTGATGAAAAGATTTGCCTAATGAAGTTGAAATGAAAAAGAAGGAGAAAAAAAGCTAAAACTCATCTGCAGTGTGCTATTTGTGCTACATGCACGACTGCTTCCAGTGTTCGCGGGTCTAATTAAATCCTGCACACCACTCTACTCCACTAATGACTTCTACACAGGCTGCACAGCTCATATGCTACACATTAGCACCACACACACCTACTGTAGTACAACATACCAGAAGGAGAAAAAAAAAGAATGAATTAATCTAATGATTAATGGATTGATTTAGCATTCATTAACTGTTTTGCCACATGAATAAGAAATTAGAACTTTAACCAATCTTGTCCTATAAAGCTGACTTCCAGCTAAGGCTCAGGGTGCTCTGACTGACCCACACCTGACAGCACCACCTGCTCCAACATGTCTGAGCTGACCGATGTGCTGTGACAAGCTTCAACAGCGCGTGCAGGGTTCATTCCCACCTCACCGCGGGGGCAGAGGAGCCGCCGATGGTTCCTCTCATGATATCCCGCCGAGGGGGCTGGAGGAGGAGGGTGGGGGAGGAGGGTGCAGGAGCTGTGATTGAGACCATGCATGACACTGCGAACGCGCGCGCGCCCGTGCGCCCGCTTAATTGTACAATGCGCTTTGATTGCGCCATTAATTGGCTAAAGGGCAGATTAGAGGTGTTTGGCGCTCTTTCAACGTCCCGACCTGCACCTGCTTTGGTGGAAATGCACCCTGAATAAATCAGCAAGAAAACACACACGGGTCAGTCCTTAAAGATTGGTTGCATTGCATTCTAGTAAAGCCTTATCAATGTAATGTTAATTATGACCTAATTAAGGATGTTTTTCTGACATGCAGCTCAGGTCATCAAAGCGTGACTGTCACGGGACAGAAGAAAAAATGGATATATAAAAAAAAAAAAAAAATCAGGCCACATTGCAAAATCAACCCCATCATCATCATCACCATCACCATCATCGGACAGGAGTAGTCTACGTACCTCCGCCAACAACGGCAGCCAGAGGCAGGCGGTTCCGATCAAGCACAACATTTCCCGGCTGGTTAGAGCCATCCTTCCCGCCCGGTGTGTCCGTGTCATAGCGAGAAAAGGCGCCGCTCCGCTCCCATCTCTGAGTCCAACCTGTCCGCGAGGTGAGCCGCTACCCTCCGCTCGTCCCGAGCTGCTGGAAGAATGAAGCGTGGTGTGTGATGATGATGTACGTGGGAGGTTTTACGCACAGAGGACAGGGTGCGGCACTATAAACGCTTCACGGGACGGAAGACACACATACACACGGAGACACACGCACACACACCGATCCGATCCTGGGTGAAATAGTGTTGAGCTCTGCAAAAACCTGATACCACAAGCACCCGTCTCTCTTCTTCTTCTCTCTCTCTCTCTCTCTCTCTCACACACACACACACAGTCTCCATTTGTCAGCTGGGTGATCAATCATTGATGAATTGTTGATTTTGAGTTTGTTTTCTGCAGGTTAATCACTAACAGCCTTTTTAGATTTGGGCCACGCAGACAATTTTGTAAAGGACCTCCTGATGAATGAATGTCCCAAAATTTTCTGTCTTCACTACAAACCATGTCGGTATTCAATAACCCAGTCTGTTTTGTGACTTCTGGACAAATTGAACATCACTTAAATACTCCACGTTACCCACATGGTGATGATAGAACAGTTTTTCCAAAATCCAAGAGGCTGCATCTTTTTTTACAGGTTAAATAAGTAGACTATGCTCTCTTAGGGTGCTCTCAGACCTAAATTGCTTTGGTCCAAATCAGCGACTAATTTTGTTTCAAAGTTGCATTATTGCCTAGAGCTGGTTCATGTTCTCACAGCAGCATTTACAAGCGGACCAGATAAAATGCCTTGAGTGGAAAAAATTGCTCTTGATTGGTCAGAATTTCCATGTGGGAAACGAAGAAGAGTCCACTTGCAAGATAAATGTGACACTTTCTAATGTCACAGTGGAGGGAAACTACACATGTGCTCATCATGGATTATATTGCTGTCATTGTTCATTTTAGTCAAACCATACAGTTTGAAAATTAATAAATTAAAATTAACATTAATAATCCTCCAGGACTGTAACATGCTCATGTTTAACCCAAACAATGAGCCCGGTCTCTCTCCGAAGTTGTCGAAATCCGGCACTTGGGCAGTGACTTGCGGTGTCAGAAACCAACTAAAAAGGCGTCCTTTAACGTCAGCATGATAGGCAGCCAGTTGCTATTATAGAAACATGGCGGGATAAGGACAAAAGTAGGCAAAAGTATGACTAAGGCAGGAGTGGTCCAACTAACACTAACTTTCACCCGACAGAGCGGTGTTCACGACCCGTAAGATTCATGTTCTCACCACAAACAACCGGACCGAGACCACCTCTTCAAGAAGGTCTCAGTCCGTTTTTTTTGGTACGCACCTGAGTGTGATTGCTGTGTTCCCACCTGCCCAAATGAACCACACTTAGGGGGCAAACAAAGTTGAGTTCGACTGAACCAAAACAAACAAGGCAGGTGTGAAAGCACCCTTAGACAAATACACCTGGTAGTATTTAGCTCAATCATGTCCGTGCAATTACAGAACATCACAGTTCAGGAGGCCACAGGCAATCAGAGCACTGAAATAATTCAGCCAAAAATATACAAAACTATGTGGTAGAAATTATAGAGAAAAAAAGCATAAATAACAGTGTTGTACAGCAGTGGAATAATTTTGCAAGATGATGAAGCATTTAGCAGCAGACAAACAGATGATACAGCAGATAAAGATATAAAGATTATGCAGTGGATAAACAAACTAGAATTAGACCCTCGCAGTCGAATGTCTCCGCCAACCACTCGAGTTGCAGTTTACAGTCTGTCCAAAATGTGATTGCTTCACACATATCTACAACCCGGCAGCACAGAAGATTTATACAATCAGCACAGTTTCTAGATCAGTGTCACCAATTCAGTATCTGACCAAATGTCTCCCCTTCTGTTCCTGAGTTATGATGTTGTATAATGGCCAGAAAATGTTCTTGCAGAACGTTATGTCACAGTGAAGTTGACCTTTGACCACTTGGATATAAAATGTCATCACTTCATTTTACCCTATTAGACATTTGTGTGACATTTTGTCCTAATTAGCCAAATAATTCTTGAGCTATGGTCAAAAACATGTTTTGTGAGGTCACACTGACCTTTGGCAACCAAAATCTAGTCAGTCCATCCCTGTGTCTAAGTGGACATTTTTGCCAAATTTGAAGGTGTTCCAGAGATATCACATTCATTAGAACAGGATGGATGGACAACCCGAAAACAGTCGCTTCCATGGAGGCATAAAAACAGACAGCTATATGCAAAACATACTTACAAAGCAGAAATTAAAGTCATTATTTCTGTATACTAACTGCAATCAAAAAAAAAAGAAACTTCATCACAGGCTCCACACCATATTAGAAAGAGGAAAAAGATAGCTGCACTGGCCTCTGTGGGTTTAAAGGTATAAATCTCTTGAACCAACATCACAGCTGGGTGTGGACAGGTGTGGTCAGCTGTAATTGTGACCATAATCATATGTGAGGTCAGGCTGATCTCATGAACTGTTCATACATTTTCCTACTAAAAAGTAATGCACCAAAATTCACGTAATGATGAGCCAGTCATTTGAGCATAACCAACATGGCTGCGATCATGTGACCAATACGCTGATGGGAGTTAAGATGGAAATGGTCACGAGCGGTCTGGTTAAGGAGGTTGATTGGGGTGGTGAATGGGTCACAAAATACAGGACTTTCCCCAGGAGATGGGTGTTCAGAAACGAGTAGATACTGAGCTAACTTTGAGGCATTTTTTCTCACCATGTTTGTTTTCCTAAACCTTACCTCAGTAACTCTTCTTGCCTAAACCTAAGCTCCATAACTTAACGTTAATTACGCAACTTTAGGTTAAGTATGTAACGTCATTCCTGGAGGCGCTACTTCGTAGGACATCATACAAACTCGTATGAGGATATGTTGGTGAGGTAGAACACAGTGCAATACTAACAGAGTAAGCAGAATAATTACACTGGGTGCACTGGAAACTTTATTTTCATTTGCGGTATTGCTCTGTTCTATGCAGAAGCCCTCTTCCACGCACCTATGTGGAAAGCATAAGGGCTCATTTACACCGCAAGCGATGCGTTCGCGAAGCGGTCCCCAAGCGTTGCAGCAGCACACGTGTATTCACACAAAAACCGAACAGACGCGTCGCGCAGCGACTGCCCCTGTCCCGTCAAAATACAAACCACACCTGAACAGTTGGTGGCAGTAGTGCACCCTGTTTGCAGATCTCCAATAAACCCCAAAGAAGAAGAAGTGAGTTTGGACCCAAAGCCCAGGTTGGACAGGTTTGCGCGCCAGTGATTATTCCAACGCTTGGAGAATTAATATTTAGCACTACAAATTGGTAATTAGTCTTTGTCTGCTTTGTATTACTACTAAACACGGGTTTGCGTGTGTTGTGACCTCTCTTGGCCACCATAGATTTTTTTGTTGAATACAGCGACCATTCACTTGCGACTGATGCAAAAAAACAGCGTCTCTTCTATTTTCGAGCTTGCTTGAGAAAGCAGCGCGAAGAACGGATGCGGTGTGAATGCTCTAACCTGTTAACATGCTCGCTGAAATGAAAACGCGAGTAAACAGTGACCGTTCTCGGGCGCTACGCAAATGCATTGCTTGCGGTGTAAATGAGGCCTAAGGCGGAAAGAACACACCTCTCCATCCTTCTGCATGCCTACGTGGAAAGCCTAAGGTGGAGAGAGCACAACTCTCCACCCTTCCATGCACCTGCGTTGAAAGCCATAAGGCAGAGAGAGCACATCTGTCTGCCCTTCCATGTGCAAGTAAGGAAAGCCTGAGGCAGAGAGAGCAAACCTCCCTGCCCTTCCAATCACCTACATAGAAAGCCTAAGGCAGGGAGAGGAGCAGCAAAGACCCTCCAGGAACAGAACAGAGCGGCATCAATGACAAACAGAAATGACAATAACAAGTAAGACACAGTATGAAAAGGAGGAGCTGGGGTGGAGTTAAAATAGGACCCCCTGAATGAGAGTGCATAGAAAGGAATGATGTGATCTATCAGCTGACTCTCTTCCATCAGTCAGCTGCTCCATCAGTTGATTGGGCTGTTTGAGATCAGCTGATGTAGCTGGGATGTGAGCTGGTCTTGATATCGTGTCCTGCCTGAACTAACACTATGCTCAGTGTTTTGCTGTAGCCCCTCAGAGAGGTCAGACCACTATGTTTAATTATATAGGACTACCTTTAAATGTTAGTTACGGCAAAAATGCCAACAGAAATTTTGCCAATTTCATACACCTCTGTTATTAGAAACAATCACCAGTTGTCCATCTGTAAGTGCCATGTCCAGATGATTCAGTCTATGCAGATATGAAAAACATGAAACGCTGAATATAATTTATTTTTATTTCACGCCAAAAGAGGTCCCTTAATGGTTTAATGAAAATGATGTAAATCACTAACTACCACCTTCAGTCACCTACATTGAACCCACCTTAACACCTATGGGAGATTTTAGAGCAACACATTAGAGAGCACTCTCCATCACCATAATTAAAACATGAAATGGAGGAATTTTGGAAGAGCAATGTTCATCCCTATAGTACAGTGTACAGATACTTTTTTCCTTTAATTCATCACCTATATATTGTTACACTAAAATAAATCTACAAGGGTCCGAATTATTTCAGTAAAAAGTTGTCTGTGTTCAATCATTAAAACTACAACCAATGTTTCCCTTTTTTGTTCTCATGGATGTGGCTCATGTTTGTATAACTGCTAAACATAATCAGTTCTGTGAGGAAACATCCAAAACAGGAACTGGCTGTGAAATAAAATCAGCACAGCAAAGATTTTGGCTGATGGTGACAAAAACTCTTCCAAAAAGACACACATTTTGATTATAGCTGTTGACAAAATTGCCTGAGTGCTTTGCTCCAAAAATGGTGTATTTGAAGCTGATCCAAGGAGAAGCATTTCAGATTATACAGATAGAAACAGAGCCAGCTGCCAGGACGTTTTGTCTTCACTCAGCAGTTGGACTGCACTGCTGGAGAGAAGTGGTCAACTCAGCTTTTTCCTTAAACTTATCAGACCCCACACCCACCCCCACCCCACCCAAAGAAAATGCAATCACACCAAGGTGCAGTGATAAGCAAAATCACTCGGAAATAAAGATTTATCTTCTAGAACATTTGGATCTGGGTAATGTTCGGCATTTATTATTAAACAAAAAACTTTCTACAAAGTCTACAGCCATAGCAGCTTTGTCAGGGTGCTTTGAGCTAATATGCTAACAGTGATAATG